AACTCAAAAGTTTAAATAAAACTCTTTCAAATGATATATAACTTGATTGGTAAAAAGTATATTTTACTCATGTAATTACAGTAATTAGAGGCAATTAGAAATATAGTCTCCCAACCTGCACTCTACCTTAAAGATAACTTAAATGTTTAATTTTAAATCAATATGAAAAATCAAATAAATGTGTTATATATAAATATGTATCAATAAATAAATCTTGTAAGTGATTGTGTAATATATCAAATAATCCATCTATAAACAAATTGCGAAAATATTACAAAGATCCCTCTGAAAACCTTATCGAGTACATGTAATGTAACACTATAATCTACCACGATGATACATGTAAGCAGAACCATATAATTATTCACGTAAGTCGTGCCTAAAACTTAAATGTTTTTTTTTTGACTGCACAATAAACATTAAGAGTAATGATTTCAATTGTTGATTTTCAAGACAACGCTGAAATTATTGTTTTCTGTCAATTTCGCTTGCACAGTATTTATTTTAAATTAGATGAATTATGGGGAAAGTTATCATAGTGACATTTTTTTTACAACATTACCTTTGATAAGTAAGGATGTACTGCATTCCACCTACTCAATTTCTTGAAATGCTCCGAAAATAATTAAATTATTGAATTAATTTGTTATGTGTGGCTCTATTCTCTATTAACTCTACAAGAATATAACGTGTAAATTTGTTTATTTTTTCTGCTTTAAACATAATATTATCAAATTAAGATACTGTTAACATGTATTATTATACATCTGTGACCGTAACTCCATACGTTACAGCGTACCATAATGTTGCGGTATTTTACAGGATATGTGCATCCTACTATATTAGGAAATGCGAATTCCAAACATAGAATGATTGCGCGCATAAGTATCTTCTAATAATAAAAAGAAACAAGTCCACTGATTCTGTTATAAACATTTTGGATTTCGGCATTCCCAATGGTGTATCCTTTGAGGAAGAGATGTATAATACTAAGGTTATCAAGTGGATACCTCAAAATATGCACTCAAACAGTACACCACGCATCGACTACAATAATCTTGTATTCATACTTACCGTCGACAAGTTGTTAGCTGGTCTGGCTGTAAGTAGTCCGATTGGAATTACATTAGGTCCCAATGGGTGTACATAGTCGATAGCAAAGTCTTTAACTAGAATATGCAAGTTTGATAATAGATGTCGTTCTGGAATGACGTTGTGTTTGTGGTACAGTTTGGTGAAAGCAATGTTATTATTTTTGACTGGTATTACTAGGATTGATGCTAGGGTGTTTTGAAGTCTGTTCAGAAACGTCATTTTATCTGTAAGCATCAAGGTTGTACGCTCAATAGGATAGTAAGATAGAGGTGCCGGGATGTCGGTTGCATATCCAGCATCTGTTGCTACATGTAATAATACATGCGGAATACCAACATACTGAAGTAACATTATGCAACAGCGACATCTCGAAGTTGTAACTGCCATGTCGTAGGATTTTAATGTGTCTCGAATATATTCTTTGTGTTGGAACAGTGCGTCACAGAATGCAGCATCTGTATTAAGTAACTTGCTTGAAACATGGTCATTAGACGTGCCATAGAAATCGGAAAGTACGTCTGCATTGATATAACTAGTAGCCATTAGTTCCAAGATTGGTAAACCAATTTCTGTATACACGTCATTAATTATGCCTGTCGTGAATGTTAACACATCGACGGAGTGACCATGCTTAATCAGGGCAGCGCCTAAGTATGCAAGATTATGGGCATGACTTTGAGACCTATGAAATCCATGGATGAGTATATCAGCGCAAACAGCTTTTTGAAAACCATACATCGACAGAAACAAAACTGCGAGTGGGATCTGATGCTTTCTCATTTTTTGCTTGGTGTGCTTCAAAAAATACAAAAATGTTGTGATCATTTATTGTTGTAATCGGTAACTGTAACAAAATATAGAGTAAAAAATGGTGATTAGTGTGGTGAAGTCTTGCAGCGATTCATAAAATAACAAGTTATAGACACACAGCAACACATCAGCATAAACCAGAGCAAAATTATTCACGACTTTTATATCAACAGTCTATAAAATGTATGTAATCCATACATGAACATGACTAGTGATTATTTACGAGGTGTCTGATACACTATATATCTTGGATGCACTTTGATTAAAACACAACGTTTTAACTGAAAATACACTGTTGTAATAAAAAAAAAACATGTGTATTATATAATAAAACACCTGTATTTTCTATCAAAACAGTAGTGTCTTGTAGTGTTTTAGAAAATGAAGCACATTGTGACCACACAATAATACATTTTTTTTCAATATAAAACACTGAGTGTTGTTAGAAGATAAATGTGTCATTGGATCGTTTATTGATAGGTCATTTATGGACTAATGCATTCAACTTTATGCAAGCAGTCATAACAGATTGAGTAAAAAGTCTGGGGATTCGTAAATAAAAATGATGGTATATATACCAACTAGACAACCATCAAAAGTGACGTAAGTCAACGCATAATGAGATAGGTCATGGCAAAAAATGGTTACATTCAGAAAATAATTTTATGTCAAGCATCATGTTGTGGAAAAATTAAATGTATGTGCGCTTATATGTTCTTGCCAAGAAATTTGTCTTACCAAGCTAAGTACAACTAAAAATCGAGAGACGTCGTGAATTAATTACCTCGTGTCCTAACGGATATTGATAGGCCACATTTGGTGAACGGTGGTTGCAGTTCCAATCACATCTGAGCTTTCTCACATGTGAGTTAAACATCTTCCTCGAAAAATGTTCGATTTGAAAACATTTCAGAAAGCAAAATCACCAAAAACATCAGACTATAAATGTTTCGGTGACTGTTAACTTTAAGTCATATTTGGGTTCATGAGAGTTCTGAATTGTTTTATCTTGAACAAACACACATACAATGTTTCAAGGTAAAACACTCGACTATGCATGTTTTATAAGTGTTTACACAACACGTACACAAATTCATAAGAGTAACTAAAAACTTTTCGTCCGAACTGTTTTATTCTAAAGCACCTTTAAAAC